ATTTATACCGCCTGGCCAATTTGATACTGTTTTTGTAGCCACCAAAGCATCTGCTTGGAGATTACTACGGAGGCAGAGAGCAGTATCCATTGGTCCAAGGAGTGGTCACTCCTAGGGCCAATGGATGCTGCTGCGAGCCACCGTAGGATCTGCATGCTTGGAGATTAGACTGACAGTTCCAAACGCTTCTGTACTGTCTTATCTTCTCCACCACCATCCTGATGAGCCACAGGGTCGGCGCCACGTCGTCTCCAGGCCGCACCAGGAAGTTGACCTGCCCGCAGAATGGGATGGAACACTCCTGAGGGTCCGCTCCACAGCCCGCCTCCCGAACGTGCTTGGCAAACGCTGCACAAAAGGTATGATTTGAATCATTGTTATGATTATCGTTATGATGAATGATTTGTTACGATTTAAATTACTATAATTATTGTTATGATCAATGATTTGAATTATTATGATTATTGTGATGATCAATGATTTTTTACGATACAAAATATTAATCATAATATTTTGTATCGTAAAAAATCATTGATAAACTCATTGAACACTGATATTATGATCAGTGATTTGTTATGATTTGATTATTTAAAAAAAAAATATGAAAATACTTGTTTATAGTACTTGCATATTGTTTTATAAAAATAAAATAAGTCCAAGATTTTACAATACTCTATAGCACGTTACTAGTGCTTTGAAGACTATCAAGCGTCAGACCCTTCATAAAATTTATCCAGTTGCTTGTTGATTCATTTTTCATTACGTGATTGCGTGGTGAACAGTCTGCAGACTAGACATATAAGCATGAAAATCGTCAATGAGATACATGTACCTGTGACAAGGAAGAGCCTTTGTGGGCAGTTGTCGTCGTTGCACACATCCAGCACGTGTGTGATCATGGCTTCCACCGTGTCACACGGAAGGCAGGCCCCGTTACACCCGCGGCGCCTGCGCCTGTAGTAGATGAGCAGCATGGTTTCAGCCATGGCGGGGGAGTCGTAAGCCGCGAAGTGTTCATGACAGCCCTGCACATTGACATAAAAAATAGAGATTCATTTCAAAATGCCTTTGTATCAGAATGCATACACAAATGCATATGATTAAAAGAGGTCAAACCCGAAAAGTGTAGATTGCACTTTGTAAAAGTTTTTTTTTAGAATAGTCACATGTTCCACTTGTCACCATTGTCTGTATACCCTATACGTTGTTTCATGTTGCAATTAACTTACAACCTGTAATCATAGATTGCCTAGGATGACCAATACATGTACATGTTATACAGTAGTAATGGTCCTAATGTTGTAGTTACCGTAGCTATGTTATGTGACAGATGCTCCAGTAGTTGCCGTATGTACCCAGGACGAACAGGGGTGGGTTGCAACTGCAACAAAAAACATTCAGATTATATTCTCTAATGGAAAATAGACAAAAATATAGTAAGGTTCTACATCTATATTACCATCATATTGTCCACTTCATCATACTGGTTGCATACACATTGTATATGCTTTCGCAGCAAACCATTGATTTTTCTCCAGAATCTCAGCCATGTATAACATCCAATTGCATTCAATACCAGCTACCAAAAGTCCTTTTAGCAAATGTATGGTGGTTTTGCAGTTCTTACCGTTGCGGAAGGGATGGGTTGCAGAAACCTCTCCAGCACCTTGGCTACTAGAAACCTCTCCCCTGGATCAAGTCTTGCTCCTCTGTGACTGCTGTCGGCTATCAGATGACCCTGTAGTGGGGGCCATGTTGGAGCAATGTTTAGATCAAAATATGCAAGGATGCATTGAAATTTTCTAAGTGAAGGTACGGTAATGTCAGGGGAGAGCTTCCGAAAGGAAAATTGGCTGGAAAAGATGCAAAGAACACTTGAAAAGTAGCATTTGCAACGACAATGCAGAATGTTTACCTTCACATTGTCTATCCTAACAAGCAAACTACTGTTCTGTTTATTGTTATTCAAACGCATCCCCCCAGTTCTGTCCTACTACTTAATGTAATCCAACACCACTGTACTGCTCTAGTTACCATGGTGACCGACGTCTGGTACAGGTCATTGACCTCATGTGTTTGAGAAGAAGAAACAGAGCAAACTTAAGGCATTTTTCCTTCTCCGAAGATAAGCATAAAAATGCATTAAAAACCAGCAGCACCATGTTTGTCTCTCTCATTCGTGCATTCATTCCACTTCCATATTTCGGTCTAGGGCATATTTGTTGTCACAGTAGCTGGGTCGGAAGAATAAGTTACAATCCATAGAACATTGTACATCGTTATTATTTTAGTATTCTTGAGGCAATGTTCTACCTTGTGCATTGGTCTGAGCAGCATGGGGTGCTCTTTCTTGATGAGGACAAGAGGGTCGAGGTACCGGTTGATCTCACGCCGAGACGGGACGATAGCAACATTCCCGTCTATAGTATCACTGAAAGATATGTATGGTGAAACCCATTGTCAAATCCCCTTTTGAAATACGATATAATACAGAAATATTCAGTTACGAAATCCATACTTATACTAGAATATGCAAACGTAAACAAAAGGTGCCCCTCCGTCTAACATATCAATCGTCTGTGCGTGTGCCCCCCCCCCCCACCACACCAATATAACGTCGACAAAACAAACAAACAATTGGAATTTGCAAAAAGAACTTGGAACATTAAAATATGCCCAAGCAGCAATGGACGAGGTACGGCATTCTAACAAAGCATAATGCCCACCATCAAGTGTACTAACATGGGCCACCCCAACATCGATCCCGATGTTTTTGCGGCCATGCACAAATTGTTTTCTCACATTTTTATTTCCAGCACCTCACTTCACAGGCCGCACTTAGCTCAACCCCTCTGTGGGATGCCCTGGTGCAAGCTTTTCCCAATAAACCATAGAAATAAAAATATCAGAAGGTACACGGACGACGGAATAACCGAATAACTTGAAGGTTTGAAACAACAAGAACAAATTCTAACTCTACACAAAGGTAACACTTTCAACTGTGTCATACACATTGAACTGTTGATATATAATTGTCATGGTACTCACTATTTCTTCTGAGCCCTAATTCTTGTGTTGATATGCTGACCACTGTTGTCCACAATCAGGCTGAACACTGTTTGTTCCACCGCAAGCGCAGTTGCAGGGTCTAGACTGTGAACGACACGAGCACAGAGTTGTTGTTAAAATATTATGTATTTGTCTAAAGGTAATATTCAACCTATAGAATACGTACGCCACATAGTATTTTATTTGAGGTTTCATACCCAACGAAAAATCTATGTTACTGCAAAATAACGCCAATCTATTCTCTTCAACTATGAGCACACATTACTAACAATACCTTAGGTAAACATGAAAAGCAAAACAGCATCTTGTCAGTTCATTTTAGTCGAAGAAGCTAGTAACAATTGTACTCACTGTTCTCTTGTCAGGATATCGTCGTTCCCTTCCAACTCCGCCAAGTTACAGGGCTGCGGCTTGTACGTCAGTGCCCATCTTCCTTGCCCCAGGTACACTGAAAATCGGCGCCTCCACTGGTCTTGTGGTTCTCTGGTGGTTACGGGCACCACATACGCTGTAGTGTGGTCGACCACTGCGATAACCAGCCTGAGGACTTTGGTTGGGCGGCCATTTTCACTGTCACGGTTGGCCTCATGTTGTTTGCGAGAATTCGAAGCTACTGGCTGGGTAGATTGCTCGTGTCCCTCCATCTGCCAAAAGAAAATCACAGGTTGTTAAGTAAAATCTCTACCCGAAAAATCAGACCAACCATGTCGACATCATAAAACAATTTTTTGTGAAAAGTCCACGACTATGTTAGGCCCATTTTCGTTTCGCTCGAGTGACCAAGTGTAGCCGTGTAGAAAAAAAATCAAGGAAGTGATTTAAAAATTCATAACTCCGCAATCTTTCAATCACTGGTCCCGAAAATTGGTCCAAATGTTATTGAAAACTTTATCTTTCAGACAATTATCTTTTTTGGTCGATTCTGAGGATCCAAAATGGAAATTTTGCCGATATTCTTTGCTCTAGTATCGCCGGGTCGTCCATTTTCAGTCAGTTAGTCGTTAAGAATTTAAGCCGTCTTTTTTCATCATCCACTTCCAATCTTTCCTGATTTGGCCATATTCTCGCCTATATAACATCACACAGTACCTACCCTAAACGCCGATGAACGATTTTTCACTTCAACCCGGGTCAGAAAGGTTTAAAATGTACTTCATTTGAGGACCCGTCTGCATCGGGCACTCGTCGCCGCCACACCTTTACAGTGAATGGGACATCATGTGACATGGAGCGATGTATTCATGTCTACCACGTACCCTATCCTTTTTATTGCCCGATGACAGAAGGAAATTCTCTAACTGTTGGTTCTTATTAATTAGAAACAAGCTTTTGCAGACTACAAAAATACATTGTACTAACTGGATTAAAATGTATTACAAGGTATAAATTTGTGATTTCGATGACCCAGACATGGTGGGATTCATTCAATCAGGCCATTGTATCGGACAGCTAGGGGGGCACTGTGACGTTTTCGTTTTTTTTTATTGTACTACTTCGTTACTTTACTTTAAATTTGTGTCAGAAATGTATGAAATAGTGCTAATAGAATGTCATAAAAAAACGTTTTGTTTGCTACTAATTTCTCAGCTAGAATTTTATACATTCTTCCCCACAATGCTTTGCAGTCTCAGGTAGACAACAACCTTTTGGCACTGTGCCAATGACCTTGGACCCTCATGTGACAACCATATTTGTAGATCATTAACTTTACAAAAGATTCACCTAGAGTAGCGAGAAAACATAATAATACTGCTTACATACAGCTGTAATAAACATAAAATGGTCAAACGAATTGTCTAATCCAAGAAAGATAAGCACATTCTGCAGACATACGGTACAAGCATACCATATCACAGTGTGTACCTACAAACAAAAGGCATCCGCCATCTTTGTAACTCACACTGTACATGTCACGTCATTCTTTAGACAGGTGGGGTCACCATGGCGCGGTGCCCTAAATTAGGCTCAGTTGGATTTTGAACCATGAATTTGCTGTTTATTAAGCAACCCGGAATCATCAAAATGGATAGAAAAGGAACAGCACTAATAATAATGGTAAGTTAAAACCTGTATATTCTTTTCAGGCCTCTCAGAAGATGACCAAAGAAAAATAATGCCATTTCCTGTTCCTCAAATCGGCCCACAATTTGGCGCCAACAAACACTATTGTGTTGAATTTGCCTTAGAAGATAGATTTAATTTAAGAAGCCTTCAGTGTATATATTCAGAAAAAAAGAGGAATAAGGGTTAGTACAGCATTGGCAGGTGTACAGATAGTTACTATGTCATTCTTGCTACCTTTGTATTGTGCAGTGTTTATTACGACATGGCAAGGTTAAACAACTGCCACATATCTTACATTATGATAATTTCTTTACCATGTTCAACCACTTTACCTACAGAGCTACTCCAGATGTTATGAAGGAATTCTAGTTAGTCAAAAGGTAACTGTAAATGTTAACAGGTCTTTCATATATATGTATGTATGCCCAACTAATCCTACACTTACTTCCGGGTATATGGGTACCTGTTGTAGAGCCAAGTGCACGGATAGGTGGGCATGATGCAAGACCTGTTAAAATTTACAGTCATCTTTTGACAACTAAGGTTCATTAAATCCATTTTTAATATTTGGAGGTGACAATGAGCTGCATTTTTTTCAGATACTCGGGCTTTTGACAGTGTCCATGACCGAAAGATGTGACCCGTGTCCACCAGGTCAGTTTAAGCTAGTGTACGTACTGCACCCAACTGCAAGCAAACGTAACGGATATTATGTCAATTTTAGTACAATACTGAGCTTTATTAGAACACAAGGGTACCAACCAATCTTTGATATGTTTATCATAGCACGAGATACTTTGCACTTATGCATTCATAAACACTTATCCGCATTCTTAAAGCCCATCAGAGAAAGATCATAATACTACATTCTTATACCTTGCAGGAAAGTACATGGAGACTGCCTGCTTGGAAGGGTTTCCCAATGGTACAATATGTGTTTCGTGTGCACCTGGAACCTTTCTCTCTCGTCCAAATCTGGCAGAGGGATGTTTTGTCCATAAAGTCTGTGCCAAACAACACATGGTCACAACGTTTCGTGGCAACACCACACACGACGCGGTGTGTGGTTGTGAAGTGAGCTATCATCTGGAGCGTGGGTCTTGCGAGCGAAATGTATACTGTGAGAGGGGTGAAGGCATTGTAGAAAACGGTAAGACTGTTGATATTGTTTTCTTCAATTGGAGATTTAACGCTAAAGCACATACAAGACCTTATTACAGTTTAAATGCGGAGTGAAGTCATTCCTTTATCTTATAAATCTTACTTGTGTTCCAGGTATGAGATGTGAACCCTGCACCAACGGGACATACTCCGACAAACTGTCAGATGTGGAACCATGTTTACCCTGGACCAAGTAAGTGCAAAAGTAGTCCCAATGTAGGTAGGAACACCCCATGACAAGTACGGAATAATTTCATCGTACATTTAGGAAAATAATGGGCATTTTTGGTGTCACTCGGCATGGATGAAATAACTGCATGTAGCAGCAATTGTATTCAACCACGTCAGGTACAATGCGTTGGATTCAAATTGGTTTGTAGAGCTTTTTTTGTTAGAATTGAAAGTCAACTGAAATTCAAGTTATAAAATGTGGCAAGTTATCAAAGTAGAATGAGGCTCCACGATCGTGCTGTGTTGTATTTTTTAACAAACTATAAATGTATTATTTCAATGTCTGCAGCTGCAGTAAATATGGAATGGATATCGCCGAAGAAGGGACAGCGTCGTCGGATAGAGCGTGCTACGGACAAAGCACAGAAGAACCAACAAGTGCAACACCATTTGTAACTGTAACTATCATGACAGGTAAAGTTTTCACAAATTTACAAAATCTACCAAATTTTTGCAGGTCATTGATATCTTTTTTGGCAAACCTGTTCTTGCTAGAAATATTTTTGGGAACAAATTTGCTAATACTGAATTGACAAAAGCTGTATAGTTAGATTTATTGTCTATTAGATGATCGTAATTGTATATTTCATCTCTGTTTATGCTTCAAGCAAGGAATGTCCTTGCTTCAAGTTTGTTGCTGTTTTTGCCACAAGTTTTATGTTACTGTGCTCTCTCTCCCTCGAAGGAACAACAGCGGCCATGCCTGAAATAAAGGTCATCATCCAACCAACCACAAATACGCTTATTGTGGTGGTGCTGCCTGTAGTCTCTACAGTGTTAGGTTTTCTAGCTTGCGTGGGGATTTACTTCCTCGTGACCCTGAAAGGGTGCAAAATTTTCTGGAAGAAAAGGCTGCAACACTATCATATGGAGAGCCCTGACAACAACGCTGAAGAAGGTACGTGAAGCAATTTACACCACACATGCTTTAATGTAACTATTATAAGTTGTACTAATAAAACTGTTCAAGACGTTTTCAAAGACAGAGGAGCTTTACATTTCTGTTTTCCACCCTTAGCCATCCTTGTGCAGGGAGGATCAAATCCAGTTACTGTGGAAGATCTAGACATGCGCAGTTCCGTGGAATGTGAAGAAGACAGCATCAGTACAAATCCCAAAGAGAAAGAGGTGGGCTGTGGTTCGAAACTAAATATCGAAATAGATGAGTAAGCTTCCCTTGATGATGATGCTTTATTAATATTGCTAAGTTTGATTCAACGCTCTTGGTAAACTGGACTTGTATGAGCTCAGTCTAGTTGTGGAATGAATAACGGACAACATGGCGTCCAAGGAGCATGCAAATAAGTTAGTAACTTTTGAGGTATATTTGTGAAAATCACAACTATGTCAACAATTTGCGTAAGTATGTACTGGGTATTGATTGTTCTGCTGTATACGTATTTCCAAGAGGATGACGAGCAGGTTGAGACTAAGACATTGTTATTATCACAATTCTGTAGGCATCCCTCTCCTCTTATAACCAAGAAGACAGTCAACGGCTGCTGCACTTTGTAGACAGCCAAATCACGCTGCCTACCCCACTACCTGCACAGCTCACACACTTCGCAGTCATGAACAACCCTGCTTATGTGGTACGTACAACTTTTTTTGTAAACTTAACAGCAATTCCGATTAAAAATTATAAAAATAACTTACTAAAAGCTAGCTAAGAATGGATGGAAGTAAGCTCGCCTTTACCTGTATGTTCATTCTAATCAATATAATGTATTGACTGGCCAATGGAAAAGAATGGAGGGATGGAAGAAAAGATATACATATCCTATGCAAAAATATATTTACACTGTCTGAATACAGTCACATGAAATTATCAGCGAAAAATGGAAAGGTGTTTCTAACTATCTTTTCACATAGAGCTACGCAGATGAACAAGATGGCCATGAAAATGAGGAGCCGGTAGCTGAGGAGAGCAGTCACCGGGAACAGTCCAGTCCCAGGGAAATTCCACCGGCATCTCCTGAGGAGCCCCTAGTTTCTCCTTCTACCTTAGCTTCATCCAGGGAAACGTCTGCATCTAGTCTGGCTTACAGAGAGGAAGGGGTGGACTTGGTCCTGGACGTCTACTCCAAAGGTAACGATCAAAATAGATCTTCCTGGTTGTCTACTGATACAAAATAGCCTGGAAAAGTAACATTTTCAAAGGAAATGCATAATGTTTACCTTCACATATGGTCTGCTCTGTTAATTCTTACACAAACAGATTCATATGTATGGTCAGACAGGAGTCTAAGACTGGAGAAGTAACATTTGCAAAGAAAATGCATAATGATGACTTTCGCATATTGTCTGCTCTGTTAATTCTTACTCAAACACATATTCACACGTATGATCAGACAGGAGTCTAAGTCCCTCTTGCTATCAAGCCATTATAGCCTTGCAAAAAATGACAACATTACGTAACCCAACACTGGTTACCATGGTGACAGATGTCTGGTTCAGGTCATTGACCTTCTTGGTTTGGAGCAGAAGAGGAAACATATAGAAATATAGAAATATTGTCTAATGATAATAAATCGGAAGAGTAGTGGAGGACTTTGGTATTTGATGTTTTCCATCGCACATATAAGAACATATGCGTGTTCGAATACGTATTGACGACTTTGTTGAATTTCAGAGCTAGTCAACCGCCAAATGGAGCTGTTGGCGGCCGAAATAGGACAAGACTGGCCCTACCTTGCCGAACGGCTCGGTTTGGACCATTCCCAAGTCGACCACACCCTTAACGACTACAAGGGGGATATGCAGGAGCAGGTTTACGCCATGCTTCAAAACTGGCGACAGGGAAAAACTGGAAATGCTACTATTTCTGACCTTCATGATGCGTTGATTGAATGTAATAGGGGTGAATTGTGCCGCCGTTTGCTCAGCTTGAGTGAAGCTCACTCGCTCACTAGCCCAGGTCCGCATGCTCCTCCAGGAGCGGACGCAGTAACCTAGCTATAGGTTGACTGCGTCCGCGTGAGGTCGTGTGGCGTAGCGGACTCGGAACCTAGAGGTCCCGGGTTCGAGTCCTGACATGCCACCGA